AAAATCTAGCAATACTATTATTCACTGATCAGAGTGATATTAGTCTAGTCTCTTAAGTTCAATTTCAGCATATGTAAAGATAAGGACAGCTAATACAAAGAAAATGAGAGATACGATGGTAGTTATTATTGTCTTCCCCAATGTCAGATCTTGAAGACCTAAAAGGCCTTCATCATTCTGTAATGATTTGATTAGTTGTATAATATGCAGTATGTATTTAATGTGCGTGAAGATGGAGACAACTATTTGGAAGAAACTAGAGATAATTAGATAAATAGTGAAGATCTCCAGTGTGCTTGCTTTGAAATCTGTATTTCAAAAATTGTTTTTTTTAAACTGTTTTGTTTTGTTTTGATATGTTTAATCTTACCCTCTTTAAGATATAAAACAAATGTGTAGGATTGATAACCATATTACTAAGTTTTTGTTAGAGCATTGAGCCGAACTGTTTGCAATGTCACTATTTGAATGTCACTTTACATACTTTAATTTTGTAACCTGAAAAGCTATGTCTAAGAGATGACAATATGTAACTTATCAACTGGCGATTTCTTACCATTTATTTTTCTGTAATTCTGTATTATTTCTACCCTTTTTTATCTCCATGTATTTTTGTTTCTTTCTCTTTAAATTAAAAAAAAAATAAAAAATAAAAAACTACCACAAAATCTACCAATTCTACTTCTGGGTACATATCCAAAGGAAATGAAATCACAGTCAAAGAGACAAATGCATTCCCATGTTTATGGCACTACAATTCACAATAGCCAAGAAATTCAGTTAGCTGATGAATGGGTAAAGGAAATGTGGTATGTGCACATAATGGAACATAACCTAGTAAATGTACTAATAATAAAGTTCTGCCATTTCTGAAAAACAGATACAACTAGAAATCATAATACTAAGTAAAGTAGGCCAGGCACAGAAACACCAAGCAGTGAATAATCTCATTCATATGTGTAACAGGAAAGAGTTGATCTTATAAAAAGTCATAACAGAATGGTGCTTATAAAAGGGTGGGGAAATCAGAAAGGAAGGAAAGTCAGGGGAAGGTTGATTCATCAGTACTAAGGTGCAGTTAGGAGTAAGAAGTTCTCATAGTGTGCTACCGCATAATACAGTGACTATATACAACAGCTATGTACTACCTATCTCACAAAGCTAGGATTTTGAATGTTTTCCACATAAAAAAATGATAAATGTTCGAGGAAATAAGATATGGTTAACCTAATTACACAACATATATATCACCAAAATGTCACATGGCATGTCATTAATATGTATATTTTTATATATCAATTTTTAAAATTAATTTTTAAAAAATCCTTTGTGTAGTGAAAGACAATATAAATGCTCATTTTCAATTTTTAAAAGTAGTTACATGCACTTACAAAAATAAACCAAAATAAATTTTGTAAAAAAAAAAAGTACATACATATGTATGTGAAGAAAACTTGAAGATTCTTAATCAAATCTCTGAAAGCAAAAATCAGTATTCAAACCACTAGAATGGACATTTTATACAGTTTATATTTTAAATTCTCTAAAGTTTATGCTAAACATTTTAAATGGCTAAGACATCACAAAGGATTCACTGAAAAGAAATGAGTAATTTCTTGAATGAATTTGAAAGTAGACAAATTTGTATGAAAGTATAAAACTTGGAAATAAGACTTTTACATCTCTTCCTTGAAAATGTGTTCAGACACTGTTTAATATATATATTGTACTACTGTATTTTTCTATGTTTCCAACATAATAAAAGGTAAGCATAAGCGAGGTATTTTTAGCTATGTGTCTAAGGATAAAAATTCCAGTAATTGGTAAATTTGAGGGTTGGAGGCAATAAATAGTTTGCCAATAAAGCACAACCAACAATTTTCTATTTCCTAGGTAAGCTAGAACTTTCCTAGTTATCTTAAGAAAATCCTGGGCCAGGGATTTAGTTCAGCGGCCTAAGTGCCTGCCTGGTAAGTGCAAGGTCAGGAGTTCGATCCCTGGTTCCAAAAAAAAAACCTGGGGTTGGGATGTTCTGGGGTACAGTACTTTCTTCAGTAGTGCCGGTGGGGAACCAACCCAGGGTCCCATACATGACAGACAAACACTAAGGCAAAACTACTATGAAGCTACATTCTTAGCCCTTTAAATTTTATACTTAGGGTCACACACTAAGCTGCCCAGGTTTTTTATCCTGTTTCCTAATTAGCTGGTATTATTGTTGGGATGTACCACAATGTCTGTCCAAATTACATTTAAAAGATTTTAGTACCAATTAGTTTTTGCAATCTTGGCAAAATTTAGGCTAACAACTAATGCAGTCTTTACCATTAAGAAATATAATAGGCTGGGGTATATATAGTCAGTGATAGAGAGCTTTCCTACCATGTGTGAGGCCCTGAATTTAATCGCCAGCACAATTAAAAAAAAACAAAGCATGAATTGTTCTTTTTAATCTAAAACCATTCTGAATTTTCAAAGGCTAAAATTAAGGCAGGAATTTTAAAATGTTCAAAACTGCATATCAGAAAAATAAAACCTATTACTGATCACAATGCCAATTCAATAAGTTTAGAAATAGCTGCAAGTACTCACGAGAATCATCACCATATACATTCTACTATAATTTTACTACACTCTTCTAAGAGTTTATAAGGATAATTAAATAGGCTTAATTTTTTTACATATTCAATAATATAACATATTCTACGTTAAAAAAATCTAGCCAGAAACTTAGGTTTAGCGACCATTGTTGTTTAATAACTTCAGTCTTTCCTCATAATTAGTAACTATTAAACAAAACTAGGAAGAAAAAAAAACCTAACTAGAAAACTTAGAATTTCAGCTATGATTTACTCTTTTTACATTCTTTAATTCTGATATTCTTATCTACTGGCATAAAAATGGATTTTCTAGAAAGAAAAGATTAAGCAAAATGTGGAGTTCTTCACTTTTCCAACGATTCTTAAGAAAGTTTAGGGGCTGGGGATTTAGCTCAGTGGCATAAGTGCCTGCCTTGCAAGTGTGTGGTCATGAGTTCAATCCCTGGTACCGAAAAAAACAAAAAGACAAAAAAAAAAGTTTACAAACATTAAGTTTTTAGAAATCTACTTAAACACTGTAAAATGTACAAAGCTGGCTAATAACACTAAGACATTGAAATTAAAAAGAAAAATTTAAAAAGGAACAAAATCAAAATCACTGTCTTTTTTAAAACATGCTAAAAGCAATGAAAACTGTGTATGTCATAATAAATCGGGTTAATCCATTAAGAACACTTGAAAAGGTTGAACAGTAGAGTAGAAACACATTAGCATACAGCTTAAATTTAATACACATATTTAACACATACAAAACAGACATTTAAACTAAAGGAGTCAACGAAGTTCTTTTCCAGGTTCCCATCAGGTTCAGGGAATAATACAGACAAAAATTCCTATTTTGGACTGAGCGTATATATGGCACAATGATAAAGCCTTTGCCTGATATGCAAAAGGCACGTAGGCGTTTAAACATCAACATCACAAAGGGGTGGGGTGGAGACCAAGCATAACTTTTTATTTAGTAACTTAAAGTAAAATTTTTATATCATAAGTTTCCTTAAAAATCACCTCTCTTTCCACTTACTATTCACTGATATATTACTGACAAATCTTTTATACCCGAAATGAATAGCAACAAAAAAGTATGATTACGTGACTGGGAAAAAAAGAATCATGGTTCTGAGAACACTGACTTAGCCTAACATATGAAACACATACAAAATGCTTAAATCTTAAATTAGAAATCCTATTCTACAACTGAGAGGAAAATAGTAAGTCAAATGTGAGATACTGTGTTTCAATGCCTACTTATCTGGTTAATAACCACCTGATTGCAAATTATCATTTTCTGAAAGAAATAAAAACTGTCATGACTAGAAAAATTCAACACACTGAGGCAAAAAAATTTTTCTTGCAATAGTACCATCAATCAACCAGGAATTCATTATTTAATTGTTACTGAAGAAGAAACAACCAGGAAGAAATCTGTTTGGAGTCTTGCAGTACAGTATTTAGTTAGGACATATTCAGGAAAGAAAACATGTGAATGTGTTCTATCCAGAAGTCTCAACAGATACTTTATTAATAGAATAAATACAAAACATCAAGTTACACATTCTTGTTTTGAAATTTATTAGTTTCCGTGCTATATTAGTTTGTCCTGCTTCCTAAAAAATACTTACCAATGTTAAAAATAAAACACATAAATATGTAAAAAAATATGCTGCATAGAGTAAGTCTAAAGTTAGTTTAAGAATAACCTTAGTTCTCTGAAAAGTTCTTTCGTCCTTAAACTATTAGTAAGAAGAAAGAACAAAAGCATTTAAAGAGGTCAGAATCTGTATAATTTTATAACACTAAGTACAAGTTACTATAATATTGATGTATCTATAGAAATGAATAGTTTCCTTTAAATCTTGACTTGTTACCTAGATATGTTCATGCTCTTAACAGTTTTCAATATCAAAACAATGATTATGCCCTATACAAATCCATAAGACTACAAAATTGATGAAGTTTTACACTTTAAATTTTTTAAGTTATTTTGCCACACTACTATGGACTTCCATATCAATAAAGACAATACAGACTTAAAAATCTAAGTTGCAGAAAAACATACAAGCAACCAATAATTAATAAATATTTCAATAGCTGGAATTCTTTAGAATGAACAGCTTGTATCACTACTATGATAAAATTTGTAAAGTACGTATTCCTCATTCACTTCCTTTACAATGTAAATAAAAATCCTATTGATTGTGGAAAAAATAACACTATATAAAAACAACCATCCAATCATTAGTTAAACCCAAATTAAAATCAAGAAATCATCTAGAAAATTCTTACAAGAATCAAAGAAGAGCAGTAAGTATCAACATTAAAATGCTCACAGAAAGCAAAATGAGTTAGACAAATTGATTATAAAAAATTAAGGACCCTCTTTGTGGTCACCTTTGTTACCTGGGCACTCTGATACATTCCTCTGATCCTAGTAGGCCAAGTTGTCCATCAGAATCGAGACCCCAAGCATATACCTGGCCCTTGTCATTAAGTGCTAACGTATGAGCTTCTCCACATGAAACAGCTACAATATTTTGGGCATCCAGGGCAACAACCTGCTCTACAGAACAGAAGTCAAGAAGAAAGACATTAATTCTAGTTTTGAATTTCCAATGAAAATAAAATATATTCAATATTCATTTTATATAAAAAGCCAAGCAAATGATTAAACATTACTAAATACAATCAGTTATTTTGAAAACTGACGAATCTTTGTTTGAAATAATTTTCATTGTGGCCAAATACAGATAACATAATCCATGCAGAATATTAAGTGACCTGAACATCTAGGAACAGAACAGTTCATAAACATTCATCAAAATACTGTCCACTCAGAAGCAGGAACAAAGAACTTGGTAAAAAGGGAATCATTTTCATAACATAGGCGGTTTGATTTTTCAACAATAAAAGCATAATGATTAACATATATAGTACATAGACATTACTATGTATTCTGAAATTAAATAATCTGAACTGACTTTTTTTTTTTTTTTTTTTTTGAGACGGGGCCTCATTTGTAGCCCAGGCTGGCCTCCAACTCACAGCAATCCTATGTAGATCTCCCAAATGCTGGGATTACAGGTATGTGCCACCACACCCAGCTGAACTGGCAATTTTTAAGTGGAAAATAATTTATTTACAGACCTTAGAAATAAAGCATCTATTAAATATGCTGAGCAGAGAACTGAAAGAGTATGACCATAAATGACAGGTTTACTTATAGACTACCATTTCAACATTAAATATAAAACCTCCGTGTGATTAAACGTGTCCAAGTTTTTGTTTTTGTTGTTTTATTTTGTTTTGTGGTTTTTTGAGACAGGGTCTCACTATTCAGTTCTGGCTGGCCTTGAGCTCACTTTGTAGCCCAGGCTGGCCTTGAACTCACAATGATCCTCCTGCCTCTTGAGCGCTGGGATTATAGGCATGAGCCACCACACACAGCTAAATGTGTCCAAGTTTTAAACAAGAAGTTAATTTAAAATACTAGCCCTTGAAACTGTCAGGTGCCATTCACTGGCAAATCAGTCGTGCAAATTACACTGTTTCTTTTGTCTCCTTAGTTTCCCTGAGATGTACATGCCTGTCAGTGTTTCACTAGTACAAGTTGTTGTTTAGATAAAGATGCCACCTAATTGTTTTAGCTTAGTAAGGAAGCTTTAAACTGGGGCTTCTGGTGCATGCCCATATGCTTGTAAGTCCAGGAGGGTCCAGGAGGCTGAGACAAATGGATCATAAATCTGAGCCTAGCTAGAAAACTCAGTAAGATACTGTCTCAAATTTTTAAAATAATGGCTGGGAATGTAGCTCAGTACAAAGGCTAGATGTTTAATCCCTAGTCCTACAAAAAGAAAACAGAAAAAAAAAAAGGCAAAAAAGCTATAATTACTTTTCAATAAACTAAAAATTTTGTGTTGAAAGTGATTAAAACCAGATCAGCCAGGATTTCTTGGCATACTTAAGCTCAATTTACAAATGTAGCTGTTCAATAATGAAAGACCCACATTCCTGCATATAGAGTAATTCAACTATTTTTTACATTAGGATCTTGCATTTTGGAGTACTAGATAAGACTGTAGGAAACTGTACAAACCTAATGATATATTATTGTTTTAAGTACTTACACTGAAATACTATTAAGTTTGTTACTCGTAACATCAGCAACTATAGCCATCATACTAATTTCTCAAATTTTGTACATATTTTATAAAATTAATTATAGAAACACAAAAGAAAAAAAGGAAAACAGATACAGTCACTGAAAAGATCAAGAAAAAGGATTTCATTTGCTTGAGTCAACAGTTCTATAAATCTTAATTACAAAGAAAAAAGTAAAACATAATAAAATAATTTTTAAAATCTGTTATCCCTCACAGATGCTTCCATAACACAATCTTCAAAATGAGGCAGGATTTAAAAAAAAAAAAAAAAAACAATAAAAACAGATAAAAGGCCACAAGGCAAACTGGAATTTGAAAGTTGTACTTAAAAACAAAAAACCTAAAACCTGTAGTTTAAGGACAAAAAATTTACTCAAGCCTTTTTCTTTCCCAGGAAAATCACTCAACAAAAATGTCCTAAGGGCCTTAAAGACATATTAAGCTTGTAAAGTGGGCTCTAGGTCATGCTTTTCAATGGTAAATTGCACTTCCTCCTCAGATCTCCTTACATAAAGTAGCACCATCGTGAGGCTGCACATCTCAACTTTAAACATGTACATTCTTTAAACATTTTACATTCTAACACAGTCCACCAGACGGGCAATCTTACAGGTAGAGAATTACATTCAAGGTTCCACTCTTAAGACCCCAAAAATATACCCAACTCTGGATTATGAAGCACCTCTTTCTCTTAAGGCCCAACATTGTATACTTTAAAATTTCTGCCTGATAAATCCCTTTATGTATGTCCCTTCTTGACAGGCCCTGCAAATTCTTTTTCCAAGATAGGAGTCAGTGAACCTGCAAACTTATACATAGGCAAGGCAGGTTTAGGTTCTTCGTCTCCTCTTAAGAACCTCCTTGGACCCTGTCCAGTGAAGGAATGGCATGTAAACACAAAGGCCAAGATGGGGGTGGTACAAACATAAGTAATACCCAAGACTGCCATCAACTAACAAAAGTAACAAGTATGGCTATACTTAGATTAAAAAGGAGTTCTAATCAAAAACTGTTACAAGACACAGATAGTCATTATTTAGTAGTAATGGTGTCAATTCACTAAGAACATATAAGTATAAATGTGTATGCTCCTAACAATGAAGTGCCAAAATAGAAAGTAAATATTAATGGACATGAAGAAAGAAAAAAAGAATACCATGATGATAGGGGGCTTCAATCTCCTCTTTCAACCATGCTAGACCAACTATGCATAAAATTGCAAGCAAATACGGGACTTGAACTGACCTTTAAACCAAACAGTCTAACATATAAATAGCAAACATACATAGAACTTTTCATCCAACAGCTTAATATATTTTCTTTTCTGGTGCATAATGAACATTCTCCAGGATAAACAAATAATAAGATAGGAACCAAATAAGTCTTAACAAACAAGATTTAAATCATGTTTACTATTCTTTTATATGTAATTACATGAAACTAGAAATCAATAGTAAGACTTTTGGAAAATTTATAATTATATAGAAATTAAACAACATGCTCCTGAACAAACAATGGGTTAAAGTAATGAAAAAAAATCTAGAACAAATCTTTAGGACAAATGACAGTAGAAACACAACATATCAAACCCCAAGGGATGTAACAAAAAAAATTTCTAAAAGCAAGTTTATATCAATAAATGCCTATATTAGAAAAAGAAATACCAAATAAACAGCCTAATATTATTCCCCAAACAGAAAACCCGGAAAAAAAAAATAATAGAAAAAGAACAAATAAAATCAAGAGTTTGTTCTTTAAAAAAAAAAAAAAAAAAAAATCAAACAAAATTCACAAAACCTAGCTGGGCTAAAAAAAAAAAAAAAAAGATTCAAATAAGTGCAATTAGGAATAAAAGTGGATGCCTCAGAAATAAAAAACGTTCACAGGTATATTATGAACAAATATATGCCAACAAGGTAGATGACAAGAAGTGGATAAAGGAAAAAACTGTATTAAGATTCAAGTGAAGCGGGGCTGGGAATTTAGCTCAGCGGCATAAGCACCTGCCTTGCAAGCAGGCAGTCGTGAGTTCGATCCCTGATACCAATAAAAAAAAAAAAAAGATTCAGGTGAAGCAAGGTGTGGTGGTATACACCTGTAAGCCTAGCATTTAGAAATCTGAGGCAGGAGGATGGCTGAGGCCAGCCTAAATCACATAGTGAGTTAAAGTCAGCCTAAACTACATAGAGAGATCCTGTCTCAAAAAAAAAAAAAAAAAAATTCAATTCAGAAGAAATACAAACAGTAACCAACTTAGGAAGGTTCAACTTGGGATTTTTTTAAAAACTTTATGATGGTAGAAAAGTGATTCACATTCTGTAGAAACGATATTTAGTATTCTGATTTTTCCCCAGGCCCAGTGATCTCCATATGATATTCTTTTATGATGCTAAGCAGTGGCAGAGAGCTGCAGCTCACTTTCAGCCACATAGTCATGAAGACACAGAAACAACATTCTACAGCATACTGTGTTGACAAGCAATGATGTTTAATAGGTTTGTCATACCAAAAGCACTTTTAACATAATACTCTCAGCTTTTGAAAAGGTAATCATTTTAGGGATACAACCACATCCTAAGTCAAGGAGAACTTGTAAACAGCTTGAACAGCAATAAAAAGCAAAGATACTGATAATCAAGTATCTACCAACAAGATAGTTTCACAGTCAATTCTATTGATTAGTCAGAGAACTATTACTAATACTTTATAAACTCATACAAAAACCATTGCTAGGGGCTGGGGATTTAGCTTAGCGGCATAAGCACCTGCCTTGCAAGCTTGCGAGTTCAATACCCAGTACCGATTTTAAAAAAAAAAAAAAAAAACATTGCTAGAAGGAATACTTCCAAACAATTTTACAGTACCAGCATGACCTTGATATTTTCATATTTACATCAAAGACACAGGAAAAAAAACTATAGGTCAATATTTCTGATGAACATCAATGCAAAAACCCTTAATAAAATAGTAACAAATCAAATTCAACAATAAATTCAATATTTATATTGTTTTTGTTTTTTGGTACCAGGGATCAAACTCATAACCTCATGCTTACCAGGCAAGTCCTAGAGCCGCTGAGCTAAATCACCAGCCCTACATCATTTTAAAAAGGTATGCAATGAAAGATCTATAGTGTTGTCTTCCATCAACCTAGTTGTCATTTTTTCTCTTCCCATCTCTGCACAGAGTAACCAGTATCCCTCTAAGGTTCTTAAAATGTATCTAAAAGTAGTAATCATCAAAAAGATTTTACATCATGACAAGTGGGATTTATCCTTGGTGTGCAAAGTAGGACTGGGCATTCAGCTCAGAAGCAGAGTTCCCTGGGTGTAACAATGTAAAACATCAAATTAACAGATAACCATCTCAATCCCTTCAGAAAAAGACTGGACAAAACTCA